TATTTCATTCAGTGTAGCGAATTTCCCTGGAGTACAACTGCATTTGCAATGGGCATTGTTAAAAATAAAACTCAAGCATAACACCAGGATCTAGAATATTGCACTCTTAACAACGAGAGCAAAAAATAACCATAGGCACAAATTCTACATATTGAAATCCTGCAACCAGGTGCTCCTGGGGTTTATCAAAATGAGATCTGATTAGGGGATTTCTGGGAAGGTTGTGCTATAAATCATGCTCTTAGTCACATAAAATAGTTCCTACCATGCTAGCAAGGGGGAATTTAATATTGGCAAGTATTTACACTTCTGCCAATCGAGGAACAGAGTGAAAATGGAGGGAAAAAATCTACCAAACTGCAACAGCATGCTTCAGGGAGCATGATGCATACCTGAATTTAGCTGTTTCTTAGTGCGGAGACGTACTGCAAGGATTAAGCAGGATGAAAGACACGGGCGACTTAGAAGCCCTTTCATTTTCAAAATGCAAAACAGTTTTCAAGAAAAGTAATATTAAAACATGTATATGTTTTGACAACTAAATTATGAATGTCTTTGATATTCTGCATATAAAAGGCAAAGAGAACTGCTGTATCTTTAATGGGAAAAACTGAGTTCAATCCCTGCAAATCATCAAATGCTCACCACTTAGGATAATGTCACTGATGTACGTTTGACAACCAAATTACAAAGCTCTTTGATATACTGTGTATGAAGAGTGACAATTATGGCCAATAAAATCAAAGGAAGAAAAAAAACTAATTAACACTAACATATCATTATGACTCACTAGCATATAAAATCCCAGGTCTGCTCTAAATTGCTAGCAACTGGCAAATCCCAAATCCTAAGGATACAGACAATAGTTTTCAAATAACTGGAGCCATCCACCCATGGTTTATGGACTCTAGAGGGTTAGGACTTTCTGCTATCAAAAAGCCCAAAATATACAAATGACAAAATATAATCCCCACAGGATGTAATCTCAAGCCACAAACTATAGTGATTAGTTGTGAATCCTAAGTCAATTCTGATGCTATCTGAGAAACAAAGAGAGTTATTAATTGTTCTGGTATAAAGAGCCTGAAATTTAGAGACAAAAGCCCTGACTGAAATTCAAAATCAGTTATTTATCATCTCTGTAATTTGTGGCATGTCATTTAACCATACATTATGGGCATAATAAACCTACCCTAGAGAGGCATGAGGCAAAAATGAATGTTAAAAAATCAAAAATGTAAAACGTGCCAGGTGAGGTAGTGGACACTAACAGTCTCAGCTGAGGCAGGAGGAATGCAAGTTCAATGCCAGCCTGAACAACTTGATGAGACTCTGTCTCAAAATTTAAAACTTGAAAAAAGACAGGATCCTGCATGCCATGCCAGCCCCACCCCCGGCAACCCAGTCAGGGCACCGTGGCACAGGCCTGTAATCCCAGCACTGGGGAGGTTGGAAACAGGAGGACCACTACGAGTCTGAGCTGCGTAGTGAGACCCTGTACCAAATACATAAATGAAAAAGAAAAAGGAAAAGGACAGGAAATGCCCTTGATGGTAGAGCATTTGCCAGTCCATGAATTGAAATCCCAGTACCATGGGGGAAGGGAACCTCCTAAAGTAATAAAATAAACAACGCATAATCGTCAACTTCTCCAGGTATTATGAGTAGTCTCTATCCAAATGTAAAAGGTGGAAAAACTGAAAAATTACCAGCTATTAAAATTTGAATGAACTGAAAGTAAACTCATCATAATTGAAAGAAGAACTTAGAAAGGAGAAATCTAATAAAACTGGACTTAATAAAATTGACCCAGATTTTATATGGAGAAAATTTGACATTTCCAAGAAAACATTAAGTCTACTTTTAGACAATGAGCCCATCAGGATTTGTAAACATCCCTGTGACCTCACGATTGTACAGGAAAGCATTCAGCTCTTCTAAACTATTTGAAATTTGTTAAAAATAAACTCGGCTGCTGACAGCTAAGTGAAGTGAACATGCATTATTGGAAGATTTAATAGCTAGCTCTAGCAAGCATCTGTATGCCCCAACTCCATTACTGAAAAGTTCATGACGGCAAATGACCTGCTAAACACTGAAGGTGACAATAGAGATATCATTTATACTTAGAAAAAGATTGATTTTTTTCCAAAACTTTCCTTGATATGGGGTATTTCTGCATAAATGTGCCAAATGAGCTCCGGCACCGAGAACACTTTGTAAAGGTCACGGTGTCTTTCAGATGTAAGATATTGTTAGAGAAACCTAAAAGGCTTTTGTGAATCTTATAAAGCAAGCTATGTGAAATTCATAAAATAAAGGTTTCTTTAAAAAGGGAATAGAAAAGACTTACTGCATCTTAACACAAAATATAATAAATTGAGAAGAATAAAAGAAAACTGCAAGACAAACTCCTTTCCTGGCCTCACTGGCTGTTCTCTGACAACCTTGGCTCCAAATAGCGTGACACTTGATGGCGTACGCACACGTATCTTTGCTCTTCTCTGATCCCCCTGCTGTTACTCCTGTTCCAAGTTATTGAGCTTTCAAATAACTGATTTCTCCTGTTGCTTTTCGGAACTCACTGAGCAGCTCAGGCAGTCAGCTCCTCAGTGATCCATTCCTGATACAACCACAGCACCTGCCATCTCTCCCACCACACTGCCACCTCGTAGGAGGTGAAGCCCCACACTCAGTAGTGTGAGGTGCTTAAGAGAAGACTGCAGTGCAACCCAAAGGGAAACTCATGGACAAAAACCAAGTCGTAATGGTTTTCCTACTTAAAACTCCATTGAATCTTGGCTTTCCAGAGAGTCCTCAATGCCTAATGGGTCTGCTAAGGTTGCATTTGAGCTCATGTGAAACCCACAGTTCTTTAACGTATTGTGAGCATTCATAAACTTCTGGAGGTATTTGGAAGTATACAACCAGTGATGCTTCAGGACATCTTCCATCTCGTAGCACTTGGACTGCCTGGCATTCATTTTCCGGAAACGCCTGAACAGTTTATTGCCAGATTCATTCCCCTCACTAGCCCAGGCCCCAATGGAGCCATCCCTCTCGATAATTTCAGGAACGTGTGCTAAAGTTTTGTGAAAATAATTGGTGATCTTGCCTTCGTATCTGTACTTGAACTTGGTAGAGAGGAGCTCAGCGAAACGCTGGGAATTGAAACTGTACTGGCAGAGGGAGTCTGGGCACTCCTCAGCTGGGCATGTGGACCGCCATACAGGCTTCATCTTCAGGTAAAGGTCCATCAGTTCCCTGAGAGCTTCGTGCCTCTCTGTGGAAGGAATCAACTCACAAACCGCCTCAACTGTCTCTTTAGTCATGAGCTTCCTCGCAAAGTTGCCATTCATTCTCATGATTGGCTTCAGGTTCATCTTCTTTCTGAGGTGCTTGTCCAGGGTGGCCTGCCATCTTTTCCTTTCTTCTTTGGAAGCATTGGGGTTTTTATACACCTCCCCTATCTCTAGCTGGAAAATTTTGTAGAATTCAGCTGCGTTGCCAATGTCACAGTGCAGCGCGTCTATGGAAGGAACCGTCTCGATGAAAGGTTTGGCCGAGACCCCTTTCACTCGATCCCGTAGCTCTTCCACTGACTCATGGTACGGGTTGGAGCGCCAGACCTCGTAGCGCTCCAGGTTCTCAGTGTGACTTCTGGTTATGGAGTGGAAGACAAGATTCTGAGAGGCTTCCAGGCGAGTGGCATCACAAAGAGTACAAATGTAGACTGAGCCAGAAGCCTCGAGGCCTTCCACTTCCCGGACCAGTTTTTCATCATAGCCAGTGCCCCTGAAGAGGAACCTGAAGGTCCTGGGGATGCCTCCCATCTCCAGCAGGAGCTCACTGCTCTTCATGGCCTCCCTCTCGGCGATGAGCGGGCTGAGGATGGCAGTCAGGGTCTCGTGGTCGGACTCATCGGCCAGCATAAGGCACAGTGGCTTGCAGCACAGTTCAGAGTTAGGCTTGGCTTCCTCAAACACCTTCACATTCTGGGAGCTGTGCACTATGGTAATTCTCATGATGGTGAATGAAAAACGAACTGCCTTTTCAGGAACGGCAGGCCCACTCCCGTGCTTCTCACTCACATCCCCCATCCCATCACAAGATTCCTTGACCACCACCGTGAAGGGGCCATTGAGGTAGTCGTCAAGGTCTTGGGCCCTCATGCCTTCCAAGATGTCTTCTTCCATGTCCATCAGAGCAGACACCAAAGCCGCATCGTAGCGGAACCTTTTGGCAATGGTATCCACTGGGTAATCATCCACAGAGGATGAAAGCCCAGAGAGCCCATCAATAATGCCAACATCAGTGCTGGATGACACATTCTTCAGGGGGGGCTGCCACTCAAAGGGGTGATAGCCTGGCAGAAGAATCTTCTCGGCATTCCGCAGGGCATGCAAAGGCTGAAAAATCTGCCGGCCTGTGATGGCTTTCACTGTCCTGTACATCTTGTGGTACTGACTACAGCTGAGGAAGGTGTTGATGCGAATGGCCAAGCAAACAGCGGGCTGCAGGCCAGAGCCCCGCCCCTGCATGATGGCCTCCAGCTCATCCGCTTGTCTGTGCTCATTCCTTGCCCTCAGTGCTAGCAAGAACAAGGTCAGGCACACGGACTTCACATCTCCACCTTCTTCTTTGTCAGCAAAAGCTTTCACTTGCATCTTAAGCTCCCTCAGCCGATGCTTCTGAGCTCTCCGAGTCAGCGACAGAAGATGTTGACGGGGTCGGCCTCCTTTGTTGATATGCACAAAAGTCTCTTTTGATTCCTTGTGGCTTGAGACATGCTGATTGTATTTTTCCAAGCTGACTTCTTCGTTGCACTCTTTTGCTGGGCATTTCACCATGAGAGAATTCAAGACGCTCAGGAAGGACTTCACGGGACTCTCTAGGTCGGTGGGGAAACACGGATAGCGGCAAGAGGGACAATAGCTGCCCATGACTTTGAGGCATCTGAGGATGCAGATTCTGCAGAACACGTGTTTACAGGTGGTCTCCACAGGATCAGCCAGGATGTGCTCACAAATCTGGCAGGAAATCGCTTTCACGAAGTGTGTGGGGAAGTCCACTGCCAGGAGCTTGGTGCTAAGATGTATCTTACCGCAGCTGGCAATCTTCTTCATGACTTCCCTTCTGTTGCTGATCTTTGCCTGAGCTCTCCTCTTGCGCTGACGGGCTTGTTTGGCTCGGACAAGCAAAGTTTTGAATTTTTTGCTAGCCTGCACATTTGGATGATGTCTCTTCCTCTTGAGTCCCCGACAGACCATCTGGCAGATGTCACAGGATGGCGTGTGGGGGCACCACTCCATAATTGCATTCCTTGGGAAGTAAACCTCACGTGGGGCCCCACTAAACTTCCTGTGCATGATGCTCCAGCAGTTGTGGCAGAACTCAGTGGGGTGGATCGAGTCAACATCTGCCTTCACATCAATGCGGAAAACTCTGGCGATGAGGTCTGGCCAGGAAGTAGCTCTTTTCTCCTTCTTTCTTAAAAGGACTTGGGTTTTTGCATCCACAGGCCCATGGACCGGGTATCGCCTGTTGTACTCATCAGTTTTGAAAGAATTCCCACAGATGCGGCACAGGTGTCGCAGGTTGGCTTGGTGAACTGCTTTTTCTCTTGCTTTGTCATCATCGAGAAATTTCTTTGAAAACTTGGGATGGGGCTTCAATGCTGGCTGAGTCAGGACTGACTGCTGGGCACCAAGTTTGTCCAGGATCACTGGAGATTTCTCTAGGGAGGGTTTCCCCTCACAAGAATCTTTTTCCTTTTGAGCTTCTTCGGGTGCCTTTTCCAGGGACCTTACCCTGAATAGCTTAAATTTCCACTCTGAAAATTTAATATGTGGATGTTGAATTTCATCAGGGGCAGAACTGAGTCCCAAGGTGGGTGGTAGAGAGCTATCCATGCTGGCTGAGGTACCTAGGGACAGAGAAAACAAGAAAGTTAGGGAAAATGTCAGTATGCCACTAATGTATCTTGTAAGTAATGACAAGTATGATTTATTTATTCATTAATTATTTCCAAAAGTACTTTACTAAGTCTCCTATTTTATTATACTATGTTCAGTGCTGAACATACAGCAAACAATAGTCACGCTGGTTCTGACACTGCTTAGGGTCATTTTATATTTGTGTATACAAAATTTTAAGTGCTACATATGACAATATAATTGCTTTCACACAAACCTTGAAGAAAAAAATCTTTAAGTGATTCACCTTTTTCTCTCCAATGTTCCAAGTATACATGAAGTGCTCAGTAGGCATTTGTGAGCAAATGCAAAGATAAACTGGCTACTAAAACCAAAGAAAGGGAGTGTTTCCCACCATGTATTAGCCTCATTGCACTAGCTGGACAATATATTTCTAGCTTTTTAAGCAGTCTTCTGGGAGGTCTGTTGTTTATTTCTTCCAAACCAGTCATAAAAGGATGATAAAGCTACAAACCCAAAGAAACTAATTACTCACTAGTTGAAAGGATGAAGTGAATTCTGAGCTATATAGATGCAAACTAATAATAAGTATCATGGATAGTAATTATGCTTACAATTTTAATTAGTGAGCACTGCTGTAAATTACAAGGCCATGTCTACATTAGAAACAAAAACCACAGAGCTCTTTAAACCTGCAACAAACCCTAGTGTGTATACACTAAAATGCTTAAGGATTTTCAAGATGAAAAATTCAAGTGGTTTCAGTGAAAGCTCAACATAGGTCAACCTGAACATAATTACCAGTCAGTGGTCATTAGCACTACAGTTTATAAGAGGTGGGAGAAATGTTTTTCTTCCCATAAAAAAAATCACATATTTCAGAAAACCCTACCATCTGGGCTATAGCATCAGCCTCAGTAAAAATGCAAACAAAAGTTTAACAATGTGAACTCAGTATGATTTGGACCTAATCAGATCAATTATCCCAAAATACTTAACATACAATTGGAAAGGCAACAACTGTATTTTCAATATACCATCCCATCCATGTCTCTCAAATTTGCTTGAGTTAACTGGCTTAACCACCAGTTGTATTGTGCATCATATTATTTTCCATGTGTTTTAATAAACCAAATCAATGCTATTTTTATTGTCAGATAATCGTGGAAACAAATCTCAAATGAACACACTTGATCAGGAGCAGGTCTTGGGGTGCTAAGAAGGAGTAAAAGGGGAAATGACTAATCCTGACTGTTTCTGCAAATGCTTTCTCAAGTCCTCTCTTTCAACCCCCAAAGGTTATTCCATCTTGCAGGCAGTATGTGTGAGAGATCAGTGCTTTTTGTAGAAACTGAAAACAAATCTCTAAGACCTGGTTCAAAAGGGACATTCTGGCATCTTCATTATGTAGGACTGGGTAAGAGATAAACCATTCCAAACCATTTCAAAGGCCACAGTAACCTCAAAAGTACTTCACACATACCTCTGCAAACACCTCGGAGTTGCTTTTCACTCACTTATGCCTCTTAGCTTTCTCCTGCGGCAAGTTAGGCATCCCAGCACCCTTGCCTCTGTGGCTTGAATTACCATTACCATTTGAATTACCAAATGGTACCCAAGTACCATTTTTTTTTTTTTTTTTCAGAACCAGGGATTGAACTCAGACCCTCCCGCTTGCCAGGGAAGTGCAATCTCCCCCTTGGGGTATTTTTTTTTCCAAGTACCATTTTATTCTTTAGCATTTCACTTCCCAGATTTTTTCTGAAGTGCTTATTCTTGGGGTGCCAAGATAATGTTTTGAGCAGTTATGTTAAAGACAGACAATATTTTTTAGTCATTAAGTTAAGCACGGATTCTTCACATTGAGTAAATCAGCTACATATAAAGACACCCTAGAATAATCTCCCTCCCCACTTATTCCTCCCTTGTCCTCACTGCCCTGAAATATTATGCCAAAACCAACCAAAATACATCTACTTAAGTATTCCCATAAAAAAGAATGCTTACCAAGTAGTTATTAGTCATTGATATCCAAATTAAAAGTATATATCAGATTGTTTTCTCACTCAGCTGGTAAATATATTTCCAAACTAGAAGCAAAAAGGAGCTGGAAGAATGCCCCATGATTTTAGGAGAACATACATGAAAATGCACATTATGTTACATACATGTTTCATAAATTTCTCATTCTTACTTGTAATTTTCACCCATTAAAATACAATACTACTTTTGGAAGAAGAAAGGAGTCTTAAAAATCATTTAGATGTAGTGAGATATGCTTAGCTATCCAACTAATGAAGCATTAAAACTATTGATATTACTAAGCATCTTTGAAAACATAAAGAAATTAAAATATCTTCATACATTGTTGGGAAGAGTATAACTTGATATGAAACATCTAGGAGACGTTTTAGCGATGTTTTCTAAAAGTTGCATGATATTATCTGTGTTACAGCAAATCTCCTTTGAGAGGCTATTCCTACAAGTACAGAGTGATATTTTTATGAAGACGGAGATTTGTTTGAAAATTTGTTTGTAGGGCGGGGAAGATAGCTCAGAAGCACCTTCCCAGCAAGCACAAGGTCTGGAGTCTGATCCCCAGGACCAAAAAAAAAAAAAGAAAGAAAGAAAGAAAAGAAAAGAAAAAAAAGAAAGAAAGAAAGAAAATGTATTTGTTACTTTGAAAAACAGGCAATAAGATAAGTAACTACCAAAAGACATTATTGAAAAACTTATGGTTAATACATATAATGGAAAACACGGAGAGTTGACTTTTCCCTATTTTGGGTGTATATTTACAGTTGCTAGATGAATCAATTATACAGAAAGATGTCCACATCAAGAAGCAGAAGACACATGAACAATGGTAAGAAGTAAAGTTGAGCTCCATTTCTGCATACTTTTATAGACACAAACTTATAGAAATCCTAGAAGGAATCCAAACAGTGTTTAAGACCTAAAAACTGAAACTATCACTGGTAAAGGGGGTTTTGGGTTCATTTTTGTTTCATGAGCTTTTTACAAAACAAATATTTTAAATTTTCGGCCCATTTTGAAAAAAATATTTTGAAGACCAAATTTGTATCTCACTTTTCCCTTATTTCTCTTCAGATTTCCCCTAGAAAACTTTAAGACCTGGCTAAGTCTTAAATATGACCACCATCTTTACCTTATCTTTCTTTTCTGTTAAACAAATTTAAAAAGACTAAAATATGAACCTGGGGAGAACATGGAGCTAGGATTATGAAAGAATTATTTTGCATCGATCTTTTGACACTCAGAAATATTGTGAAGCCTTGACTTCTCCCCTTGTAACAAAAGGCTTCCACAGTAGATCAACTTCAGAATCTAAAAGGCTGAGATCTGGTGTTGATCAGTCCAATCCCTAACAGATACGATCATCTCAACATTGCCATCATTTGGTGCCACAAACGTCCAGGGCCCTCCGTCCAAGAGCATGGACTTGTGTCAACAAAGCAGCCCAGTGCAGCTTAGACAAGGAGACAGCTGTACTACGCAGTGAGTATTGTTAGTAGTTACCTCAGCAAGCCAGGCAACCACACGAGTAACACCACCCATTCTATCCCAGCCCCCTGCCATAGAACAAGCATATTCTACTACTCCATTCACTACCTCCCTTGTAGCTGTCTCTACAGCTTCGTCTATACAACTTCAGAGTGGACAGCGGTGCCTGAGTGTGATCTTTTATGACCATCATGGTCCCACAGGTTCATTTATTCACTCCTCAGATTATCGCTTGTGATTTGCTGCATATCATTAAACATCAAAACACTGACAGCATCAAAATCTTTTTTATAAGTCACAGCCATCCACAAAAATAACCCGATGATCCTTACCCTTCCTCTGGGTAACTTTTTCCATGGGCTGCTCCATAAAGTCACAATGCCTGATCAGAAATCCAAATGCAAGACCATAACCTCAAAGCGGGGTCTCTACCTTGTCTAGCCACAAAAATAATATGAATCAATATCATTTGGGAGATTATTTCCTCTCCCCTTACACACACCAAAATATGGAAATCTTCAGCTCCCAGAGAGTCTGATTTTCTCAGATGAAAACCAGAAACTATATTTCTTCAACAGTCATTCCAGTGATTGTCATGTCTGAATAGCAGCCACCTTACCCTAGTCCAACCAGACCTAGGCAATGCCAGAAAACACTGCCAATACCTGGGGGTAAAAAAAGACCACTTTTCCTTCACCGCAAAGTTTCTTTTCTTTCTGGTTATTTTTTCATCTGGACTCACAATATTTCTTCCCAGGATTCTCATGTCTTTCCCTCTGCTGATTCATTTATACATACATTCAAAAAGCTTTCCTTAAGCCTTTCTCCTGCCAAAAGTGTTCATTTATCATAATTTAGATAGACTGCATGTTTTCATGAACCTTCTTGTTTTTGAACTCAACTTGGCCTTTTGTACTTTTTCCACTTTCATACATTAGAAATAAAAACAAATAATTCATCTTCCCCCATTCTCTCCCCCTTATCACCTGCAAGGAAAATAAAGCTCAAGTATTTCTTATTAGAAACATAAAAATGTAATAAAATTGTTCAGCTGGGGACATGGAAAGTACAAGTGTTACCTTGTTCAGCAGGCTGCCTGGCCAAAGTGTTGAGGAGTCTGCGATGGGGTTGATATTACTCAATACCAAAGAGAAGACAAATCGTGCTCTCTGGTCAGTCTTTGTTTTCTTGTTCCTCTGAGTACACTGCTGTGTTATTTATCAGCCTCCACTATCCTTCCCAGCCTCCCCACCACAGAAAGTTAACCACAAGTGATGGCAGCCAATCAGAGGCCAGAAGCCCCCAGCTCCAGCCTGCACCTGGCTCTTCAGGAAGTTTAGCTGGGGGACCTGAGTGTACAGCCATGCCTGGGTAAGCTCTGGAGCACCAGCTGCTTCTTTGCTCCCCATCAATGTTTGGGTTGGAAACAATCTTGTCAACACAGCTCTGGC